TTTGATGTGTCTCTAGCTGCAGTTCCTTTCCAGAGGCATCTGATGGTGAACTTCCAGATCCTGAGCTGGTGATTTCTGTGAATGGCGATGACTTGAAACAGCGGGAAGAGGAAAGCAAACGGAGAATTGAACTTGAAGAAGAGGAAAGAAAGCTTGAAGAAACTTTAGAGTATCAAAGACAAATTGAGAAGGAAGCTAAGCAGAAGCACCTTGCTGAGCAAAACAAGAAATCTACTCAATGGCATCCAGAGAAGGTGGTGGAGGGATTGGATGATGTTAACTTGGAGTCTTGTGCTAATGGTCAAGATGTTAATGAGCCATTCAAGCCTTCTGTCCAGGTAATCACTGTTAGGCTGTGCCCTTCTCGTATGTGCTTCCTTCTTTCTAGATTAAATTTAGTAAATATTGGTATATGGAACTGGATACTAAGATATTTGAAGAGGAATACCATACTGTCTAAATTAGAGGATACTTAGAGAGAGTAGTAAACCTGATGAACGTGTACTATCTAAGAGCAGTTGACACAGAAGACTGGATTCCCCAACAATTTAGAAGGTCTTCCTGTTAACATGGCAAATGGTTCTGTAGTGCCAGCCAATTCTTCTACCGCTTCTGGTGCTCATCAAGCTAAAGTTAACCAAGGTTGGTGTAGGATTTCCTTGCATGAGGTTGGGGTTAATTTAATTATAGGAGATGTTTCTCATTGTGTATCTTCTTGAGCAGGACTGGCAAATGGAGGAATTGTAGAAGAGGATGGTTATTTGCCTTCTGATCGACGGACAGGAAGGAAAAACCGAAGACAGAGGAGTTCCACAAAAGTGCCTGATGGAAAGTCTCAAGGCTTGTCATCTGGAAACAAAAATGTTGAAGTTGGGAGGTCAAGTGTTGAGGGTTCACATGACAATCTCCTCATGAACAACAGTAAGTTTACTTATCCTTCATTGGTTTCCACTCTAGTTTTGATGCTTGATCATTTTGACAGTACAGTGAACAATGTCAATTGCCCTGTTTTTGTTTGTTTGGTGACTGGCCAATTTTGTCTTTTCGCGTATTCTCATTTTATTGTTAAGGGAAAAATGTTTACCTAAGATTTTAGGTAATATCTTTATAAAATGATATTTCTTTTGTAGTATGAATTTTACTTAGTAATCTCATCTCTACTTGCTCATCCAAAAATGTTTTCTAGTAGTTTGTTATAAATTTAGAATTTTATATTGTTTAGTGATTCGTCCTATGGTCACATTAGCATGAAGTTTATGTCTTTTCATTTGAATGCTGTTTTTACTGCTCTGTAAATATGACCATTGACAACCTATCTTTTTTATTTTTTATTTTTATTTTTGCAAATTTGGAGTTAGTATGAGCATGAGTTTTGTCAAGTGAAAACTGGTTATACTGTTTTGGCAGACAATGGAATACAGGAATTGAGACAGAAACGAGCAGAGGAAGACGATGAAGAAAGGTTCCAAGCTGACCTCAAAAAGGCCGTACGCCAAAGCCTTGGTAAAATTATTCTCTTATTTCAGTGGTCTCTTTGTTATGTTACTTATTTATTCTTTACATGTTAAACCCCTGACCATGGTAATCAGTGGTACCCCTCTATAATAAAGAGGAGGTCTAGGATTCAACCCATGGTAGGGCGAGGTATGTGAGGAGGAATTCCGTCTCCATTTTTGTAGCTAACGGATATGATTTGCATATTTGTTCAAGTAGTCTATCGGATGGTCTATCAATGAATAAGATAAGTAGTCTCAGATTTGTTCATGTTGGAGTTCAACTATAAGTGAGTCACATCAGTAGCCTTGACTTGTTAGGACAATAGAAAAGCAGTCATCTCTGGTGGATTTGCACCAGTTTTAGTTATTATCATCAGGAAAAAGCATTAATCTAGTTCGGAATCATGCATGAATAGCAAAAGATATCTGACAGCAAGTATGTGATCTAAGTTTGATAGAGGGCTGTGGAGAGTGTTTAATGTAGTCTCACCAAAATATGTTAAACCTTGTCAAGTTGTACTACCACTAGCCATCTCACTGATGCATTTTTTTTCCATTGAACGAGGCTTTGAGCACTTACTATACGGTATGAGATTTTCAACTGTCTGACCTTTTTTATTCATGCTATTCTTCAGACACATTTGAAGAACATCAGAAGTTTCCTGTAGTTTCAAGTTTGAGGATGCCCAGAAGAATATCTGCAGATGTAGATAACAGTGTTTTACATAATGACATCACAAATGAAAATGCGAGTGAAACCGATATATTTGGCACAGGGTTAAAGAATGAAGTTGGTGAATACAACTGCTTTCTGAATGTTATTATACAGGTCCGTTGATTCGGAGTTTTTATCAAATTTATGTTCTTAGTTCATTTGTCGTTGTATATCATTTTTCCTGAGCATCTTATTGATGTTGAAACGTTGCTTTTTTATTTCGTCAATACAGTCTTTATGGCATGTTAGACTGTTTCGAGATGAGTACCTACGGAGATCAATATCAGAGCATGTTCATGTGGGGGATCCATGTGTTGTCTGTGCGTTGTATGAAATCTTTACTGCTTTGAGCAATGCGTCTGCAGATACTCGAAGAGAAGCAGTTGCCCCTACTTCTTTGAGAATAGCTTTAAGTAACCTGTATCCAGAAAGTAATTTCTTCCAGGAGGTATTTTCAGAGAATTTGATTGTAGCCCTTGCCTCTTGTACAACTTCTACAATTATTCTGAAGTCATAATCGGCTTATATCTCAATAATTTATCTTCATTTTTGGAAGTTGGTAATAACATTATAGCAACTGTACAGGCTCAGATGAATGATGCTTCTGAAGTTTTGGTGGTGATATTTAATTGTCTTCACCGGTCGTTTACTCCTGGTTCAAGCCTTTCCAATGCTGAATCAGTGGAAAGTAGTTGTCCGGGGTCTTGGGATTGTTCAAACAATGCTTGTATAGTGCATTCCATCTTTGGCATGGACATTTTCGAACGAATGAATTGCTACTATTGTGGTTTGGAGTCCAGACATCTCAAGTATACTTCCTTCTTCCATAACATAAATGCCAGTTCTCTCCGAACAATGAAGGTATCAGTTAAGAACTTTCGTGATTGTTTATTTTCTTGATTGTTTTTTAGTTTCAGCAATTTATTACTGTTTTTGGCATTGTTACTGATTACGCACATCTGTCTTTATCTTTCTTTGCTATTCAGGTTATGTCTACAGAAAGCTCCTATGATGAGCTTTTAAATCATGTGGAGATGAATCATCAGTTAGCCTGCGATCCGGAAGCTGGTGGCTGTGGGAAGCTCAACCATATCCATCACATTCTCTCAACCCCACCACATGTTTTTACAACAGGTGATGTGAAGAGTTCTAGGGAGAATATTCATTGTCGACTTATGTTTCTAAAGACGGAAACTCGCTTAACATGAAAACTGATCAGCATTTTTGTTTCGTCATGCAGTTCTGGGCTGGCAGAAGACATGCGAGAGTGCTGATGATATAAAAGCAACATTGGCAGCTCTTAATACTGAGATAGATATCAGTGTCCTTTATCGTGGCCTGGATCCAAAGACCACGCACAACTTGGTTTCTGTGGTATGCATGTTTGGATAACCCTCAATGTTGTCATGCATATAGTAGTGTTCCATTTCCCAAAATGCAACCTGCGTTGTGTATTTTTCCTCCAGTTGTGAAATAACAAAGGCTTGCATTTCTTACCCATAAACTTAGGTTTCGCTGGCGTTTTTATTTTTAATTATTTGGAGTAGTGAAAGCTGTGATATATCCAATTTTTTTGTTTAATTGAAAAATCTCCTTTGTTATCTTTGCATAACTTTTGAATTTCAACAAGAATTTGTAGATACCGCTATTTCGTTTTATCTCATATCTACTATTTACTTTTAGGTTTGCTACTATGGACAACATTACCATTGCTTTGCCTATAGTCATGACCGCGGATGCTGGATTATGTACGATGATAAAACTGTCAAGGTGAAGTCGGTTATTCTAGTGTAAATCATGCCTTGTTTCGCTCTTCTTTCTGCCTTTGTTATAATTTGTCTCTGATGTGTCTACAGGTGATTGGTGGCTGGGCTGATGTTCTTACCATGTGTGAAAGAGGGCATTTGCAACCACAGGTTCTTTTCTTTGAAGCTGTGAACTAGGCATTTTTTTCTGGAACTCATTACGTTTTTAGACTTTGCAAGAGAGCGTTGGTGTTGTAACATCCGTTCGTCATCTACTGTAAGAAGTTGTTCAGAGCAAATGCATTCCATCCTTCCGGTTAGACAGTAAAGTATACAGCGCCAATTTCAGAAGACAATAAAGGATAGAAATGTTCCGGTTGAAGTCCAGAGTTCTGATGATGTATAAGCGACAGTTTTGTGATATAATCAAGAATTTTTGTGGGAGCAACTGGTCCTCGAGGAAGAACCGTGTATCTAAAGAGTTTCACGATTGAGGAGTCGAAAAGTCTAAGCTTGTGGTACGTTCACTGTCCCTGCAACTTTCCTTTTTAAGGTTGGACTCTTCGACGAAGAAGGTAGTAACAACGAATACGGGCTGTCTGCGCGTGTTCATGCGAATTTAAGGAGCGTAGTATGTCGTTTCGATAAATGGCATTGATTGCCAGTTGTTTCTCAAGAGCATGTAACAGTTGTAACGGGGGAAGGTAGGTTATAGAAAATCAAGGTCTTTGCTTGGACGTTTTCTAAAATTTCCCCCAAGTTTTGAAAAGGTTGTTGTATAGATCACGTTATGATGGCCCTTCCCCTTTTGGGGTCTTTGGAACTGCGGATTACAGTAAATTTGTTGCTTCATCTTGATACCACAATTAGGTTAAAAATGAAGATCTATTGCCCCTTCTCCTCTCTGTAATTTCGGTTTACGAGAATTGCTATCTATATTTAGGTGGTATTTATTCTCACTTGTAAGGGAGATTTAAGTTCTTACTCTTATAAATAGCGAGTTCACTACCATATTATTGCTGCCTCTAGGAGGAATTAAAGCTATCCCCAAAGTAACTTATATTTGTTGAGCGATTGCGCTTCTACTCAGCGTTGTTAGATTATTAAGGCTGACTTTCGTCCAAGTCGGCCTTGCTACTACGAGCTCCCTTTTGCCTAAGGTCTAATTTTCGTCATAGTCTAAAACAGTGGACACGTTGTATTTCTGAATCTTACAAAACCAAATGAAGCCCTAATTTCAACATAGACTTCTTACTACCAGAGTTCGATTTACTTCAATGTATTATAGAATCACAAAAATATCAAATAACTTCACCATGATGACCTCAAAAATTCAAAACACATCAAATTTAGAAACTAGAAAATTTGGATTTGCCACGCCATTCAGGGAGGGGTCAGTGTGAAGTGGCTACGACCATAAAAAAATAAATAGAAAAATAAAAAAAGTGCCCCCAAAGTTTAGGACCTTTTCTGTTACCAAATTCCAACATTTGTCCCCAACGGTCTTACACGATCCCCGCCTTTTTCGCTTCCCCTCTTCAATCTTTTCTCAGTCTCTCCCTGCTTCCAGCAAATCCGCACATTTCCAGACCTTTTCAGATCCAAAAAAATGCTCTCCATACCACCACCTCCATTCCTCCTCCCCCTCCTCCTCCTCCTCCAACTCACCGCCACTCTCCTCCTCCTCCTCTTCAATTTCAAACACTGCACCACCCTCCTCTCCAATTGCTTTCGAGATTTTTCGCGTTCCCGGCTCTCGGATTGGTTCCGATTGCGTTTTGGGATCCGCAAAATGCCCCTTAAGGGCGCCACCCTCCAGGCCTGCGCCGCGTGCAAATACCAGCGAAGGAAGTGCACGGCGGAGTGCCCCTTGGCGCCCTATTTCCCGGCGGACCAACCCAAGATGTACCAAAACGCACACAAGCTATTCGGAGTCAGCAACATTTTGAAAATACTTAAAAATCTCAACCCTCGCCAGAAGGTTGAGGCCATGAGGTCCATCATATACCAAGCTAACTTGCGCGACAAGTTTCCGGTTTATGGGTGCTGGGAGGTGATCAGGCAGCTCCAGTACCAAATCCTGGCGGCGGAGGAACAGCTCCAAGCTGTCCACCAACAGCTGGCAATGTACAGACAGCACCACCACCACCACCACCAGATTTCGTCCATGCCAGAATATGTGATGTCACAGTTGGAGCTAGGGATGGCTCCGCCCAATAATCCCCTCGCACTTTTCGACTACAATCTTCCCCCTTGTATTCTCACTAATAACAACAATGCCACCGCGGTGGCTCCTGTAAATCAACACCAACAGCAGTCTTACTCTAACAGCAGCTCTGCTGCTTACAACAGTGACTCCAAAGACAATGTCAACAACAACAACAACAATGCTGGAAATCCGTTGTGGAGTTCAAATCCTTTTATGACTAACAACAGCAACAACAACAAAAACGATAATAACTCCGAGGCGATTGAATCTGAACTCGGAGCTCTTCAGCAGCTCTCTATCCAACCTGACGTTGTTCATGATTACAATGAGTTGCATCCGTTTTTTGACACCACCGATGATAGACAGTCATACATTGATTCCAAAGAGGCTTATGATTCAAGGTACATTTTTTTATTGTCACTTTGGATATGTATTCGTTCAAACCTTTATCTCTACAAATCCGAGCGACACAGGGCTGAATCTATTTGGTGCATATGTAATTGTAATTCGCTAAATGATGAGAATTCACTTGCAGCTCGGAAGAATCGTTCAAGGGCACGACACAATCGATGGAGCATGCAGAGAATGCATTGAAGTATGATGCAGCATGCTTTAGTCTTACCAGTGTCAACTGATGATCAGTAAGCATAAACTAGACAAGTAGTGTGGTTCGTCTTCTTCTATTATTCATTGATTTCTTTCTATTATGAATTTGATTATTCATACGGGAAACCTACAATTTTGTTTGCTTCTTTTTTTTTTTTTTTTGTTAATAAAACTCCACATACTGAGCTCCTTGTTTCTTTTAGCTTCAGTGTTCTACACCTGAGTTTATAATCGACTGTTTGTTTAATCGAATAATATTTCACGTAGTTTTTCAACTTTTGTGAGCTGTAGAATACATATAAAATAGCTTTGAAACCGATTGGAATTGAGTCCTAGAAGCCTGGTGTTGTATGAACCGCAAGAGGGGGCACTTGTGGTAAAGCCAGTGAAAGGAAGCAGTTCCTCTCTTCTCACAGTCATTGCAGAGTATGACCTGCAATTTGTTTAGCATGTCAATGAACATCTAGGTTTGGATGTGTTAGAAGCTACTTAGTATGACAAGAAAAATAGGATGACAAACCTGAGTTTGGCCGGCGTACTCTTCTAGGGTTTCCTGTTTAGCCAAAAATGCATCCAACATTTGAAAGTACACCTGCAAGACTATCATATGGTTCGAGAGGCACAAGACATCACACAACTCAGTTGGATAGAATTCAAAGCTTCAGCTCGAGAGATCAAAGTTTCTTCTAATCATATAGAACAATCACGACGATTCACGCGAATTCTAACCTCTTCCTCCACATAATTCTGTAAATCAGTGTTTTTGTTTCCTAAGTTTATATCTTTTTTGAATAGAGCGTTTGGACGAGGGACTTTAAAGTTCCATGGAACCGAGGCTACATTTGTAGGAAAGCACTAGATGCAAATGCAATACGTTTAAAGATACTTTGAAATGTGTCATTTGAAAGTCCCCAGTTTAGCGTCTTTGTAGTGCATTAGTAGTGTATTAGTAGTCGTTTTATAGTGCTTAAGTAGTTCATCGGTAGTGTTCTTGACATCTTGTAGTGCGTGTTTAACAATTTAGTCTGAAATTCCTTGGTACTTTGAAGTCCCTCATCCAATCATAGGATGCAGGAACATATTGCAGCAACATAAATTCTACATTTTCAGCTCACCTCTTCAATCCCAACAATTTCAAGTAACGAAACTGCAAAGATTGCGCAGGTATAATTCGTAAAGGTGTAGGCATGGAAGTAGGAACAGAAGTACCAGCAAAGAAGTCCTGAATATTTACAAAAGCTTTCGAGAGAAAAGCAGGAAATTATGAAAGGGAAATACCTCAAAACATATTGAGTGCATCAAATGACCGCACGGAAAAGAAATTTTTTTCATGGTGACTGGAATACGAGGGGTACACTATGTATTTTTATATAAGTAGTGAGAAATTTTACTTTTTAAGTTATTAACTTTTTAACACACATATCTCACCATTTATATAGTAATACGTGATGTACCATTCTGTGTACTGGTCATACTGAAAAATCTCTTGACGGAAAGGACTTTGGTGGAGAGTTGGAGGTGAAGATGTCTTTCGTTGCAAATAGGGCAGTTATCTACGAAGCATTTCTCTCTGCATGTGTGCTTCAAAAGGATGAACCGTGAACGGATAGTCACAAATAGTACCGAGCATGTCAGAGACCTTTATCATTTTCGTGTTAACATAAATTGAAGTCGACACGGTTTCTAATCAAATAAACACGAATACCACAAAATCAAAATCTCCTTCATCAATGGATAATACGTCGGAATTCTTTTGTTTGTTTATACAAATTATATTTTATAAAAGAATTCATTTCAACTATGGGATGAAGATTCGAAGCTTGAGTAGATGGAAGAGCATGTAGAATTATCATAAAGATGGGCCAAAGTTCCACTTTCAACAAAATCGATATTGTCTCCAACTTGTTAATTACCACCTGTGCAATTTGACAGGTGTGAGATTTTCTCACAAAAAACCTCAGTATTAGGGTTACGATATTTAAACTTTTTTTTTTTTTCCTTCAGAAATACGTCGATGTGAAATATTTCAACAGAGCACATCCACATAGACAAGTGCTTGAGTCGTTTAATTAAAGAAGAAGAAAAAATTTTGGTGGACCATTTTTGTTAAGTTTTGGGCCATAGTTAGCCCAAAGCCGTGCTGGGACATGATTATTTGACGCAATATGCTCATATTTTCTTAGATGTATTCGGGCCCAACACAAATGTGGAAACTCAAAAATTCATTTGAAATTCATGACTAGCCCTATAGTCTTAGTATTATTCTTCTTTATTTTTATTTTTGAGAAAAAACTATAGTGGTTTTATTCATAATATTAGGAAAGCATATAATTTTCGAGGAGGACATCTTGAATTAACTCTGGGGCTTTTCAAACCAACAATTAGCAAAATTGGAAAGTAAGACCAACTTGACCATTCTATACGCTGCTACATTGACGGATCTACGAACATGACAAACTCTTGAGGAAACAAAACTCCGCAGACTAGTTTAATAGCATCAATCAACAAACCAATAGCGGATGCAAACTTCCGATAGCTTTGACCACCTGTAGTCACATCCAAAATAATTTGATGCCAACTTCGTTGCAAAGCCAAACCGACACCATCTCGTGCAACTAGAACCTCAACCATCTTAGGATTTGTCACGTGAGATATTTTACGAGCAAAATCTTCAACATAGCTACCTACTTTGTTGCGAAATATCACACGGACACCGCCAGAATTTATAGTAGCACAGAAAGCACCGTCAATGACTTGATCCAACACGATGAACGAGGAAGCCAACGAGTGGGAGACTGAAGAAAGGCCTGCAAGTTGACTCACAAGTGTTGAGTTCTCCACCTTGTCGTCCCACAGGAGAGAATTCCTAGCTCGCCATATGGTCAATAAGCATCAAGAGAGAATCGAACTAACCAGATGAGTGAGCAGCAAGGGCAATCACGAAACGAAGAAGTTATTACAACATCTCGAGTACCAGATTCGATATTGGAGGAGAAAAATACAGCAATTGCAAATGGACTAGCACTAAACACATATTTTTCTTCACTTTATGTGCGAATGTGCGGTTTCAAGCCCGCCTTAATTGGATGCAAATTCGATACTTGATTACTATGATTAATTTAGCGTGTGACATAATCAAATCTCTGTCTTTAGTGTACAATATCATTTCGTAGAAACTCATATGAGCTCGTTTGGATGTGTTTTTAAAATGACTGAAAATTTATGGTGAAAATATTTTTGAAAACAATCATTAGTTAAAATGCAAGTAAATTCTAGAAAAACACTTAAAGTGTTTATTAGGAGAATCACATAACTGATGCTTCTTGTAGAAAGCACTTCAAGTGCTTCTGGAACCCAAAAATATTTTCTTTAAAAACGTTTTCAATCATTTTTAAAAAAATATCTGAACGAGCCTATGTCTTTTTGTTAAAACAAAAAAGAAATAGAGAAATTCCGAATGAGCCTATGTTTTTTTGTTAAAACAAAGAAGAAATAGAGAAATTCCTAGGGCCCTCAACCACAACCACAAGCGAGCGGGCGACAGATTCATGCATGGTTTAGGTCCCAGCACGCCGACATCTTTACTAAAGTGGTTACTATCGTTATGTCTTAATCATCGGCAAGGTTGTCGACATGCAATCTAGTGTACAATATGGGGCACGTTTGTAGCTTTTTTTACACTCCAATCCAATTCATGGTAGATTCGTACAAAACATGACTATTGCCGTTTGGCAAATAAATCCAAGGTTCCACTATTTTAGAGAAGGCTATAAAGGTCCCACCGTTTTAGAGAAGGTTATTTTTTTTATATGCTCCTGGAACTTTAGTTTAATCTTACCTTTATTCTCATAAGTGTATTTACGTTATTTTGTTTTTGGAACTTGATTTTCGTCTCATTTCGTCACATTTCGTTAAATTCGTTAAAAGAACTGTTAAGTTTGTGACATGGCACTAATGAAGCCCATTACGTACTAACATGTTTGCCACATCAACTTAAAAATATATTTAATATTTGAAAAATGTAAAAACCATTAAAAAAATTAAAAATTTCAGGAACAAAATAGCGCAAATTTCGTTTCAGAGAATAAACTAAATTGAACTGGAGTTTCAATGCTTTAGAGGATCAATAACATATGGTCTGCTGCTTACTTGGCATAATTGGAGGATCATTTTTAATTTGTGGAAAAAGATACATGCAATTAATTAAAGGAAAACTAATGAAAAGAGCTTGAAAATTTTGAATTTTAATGATAAAGACAAAATAAAGGGTAAAATAAATAGTACTAGGATTGACTTTTTAATATAAAAATGTGATTTTTCGTTAAAGTGAACAGTACCATAAATTTTTCGTTAAAATTCCCATTAATTAATCATTATGGTAATTTCATGTGTGATGAGTTGAAGCTAAGGCAATCATACTTCATACTTGTCCCTACAAGAGAAGGAATCTTATCTCCCATTTTTGGTGCGCAATATGAGACAAAACCACACAAAGAAATGAATTATGCAAACGTACACCTACCAAAAGATGCTTAATCATTTGGGTAACGTTATAACATTATACTTTTTCTTTCAGAAAAAGATAAAAAAAAAAAAAAGAATTGTTATTGGCATTAAAAAAAAATCTCATTTTACACTTCACATTTTTTATAATTAGAAAGAAAAATACACTAGTGAGGAGTGTAGAATGAGATTTTTGGAGTGTTAATAAAAGTTCCAAACAAAAAAAAAAAAAGTGTAATGTGATGCATTAGCTTTCAAGTCCAACTGTAATAAAATGGTTATCGAATATTTTGCAATGCATCATCAATTTTAAAAATAATTAAAATTGATTTTAGTTTTCATCATAGTGGTTGTCAATGAAACTCGTGCATTAAAAAAAATTATAGGCATTTGACTCCATTTTTGTTTTGCCGTAAAAAAGACAAATAGAAAGTAAAGAGTCAAATCACTCAACCGCTTCGTCAATTATGACATTTCTTTTGGAGAAAATGTTGATATTTTTAGTCTTGATTGACTTATTTGGCATTTCTTTAGAGATGGTTTTAGAATATATAATTTGCATGGTTGAAGGTTGACAGTTTCCGACCCTATCATTCCAATACTAGTGCATCATATACACAATCAATGGATTGTATAAAACCCGTCAAACGTATCACAAATATATAATTTCTTGAGTCGAACTTAAAATCTCAAATTATTATTCAACAGTAACGGATAAAAAAGATCAGGATGAACCTTTATTGCAGTTGATAAGAAAGTCAACAGAATTGGGCAAAATCTGAAAATAGGCTGTGACAAAATGTGTGGTGGTAATCTTGAAATTTTGATGTTTGTTCCGCACCAAAATCGGAAAATCATCATAGACAAACCAATAAATTGGGAACCCAAAAAATAAAAAAATATCAGATTTCATTTCCTCAAAACGAAGAAAAACTGTGAGCTGAAAAATATGGCCAAGACGGAGAGGCTGAGTGGCAGCAAGTGGACAGCCACGGCGGCGAGCATATTGATCCAGTGCGCCGGCGGATCTTCCTACGCCTTCAGCGTCTACTCCTCGGCGCTCAAGTCGAGCCAGGGCTACGACCAATCGACGCTCGACACGGTGTCCGTCTTCAAAGACATAGGTGCCAACGTCGGCGTCTTATCCGGGATTTTGTACTCCGCGGTCGCGCTTGACCGCCGCCGAATTGGGGGGCCCTGGGTGGTGCACGTGGCCGGGGCAATCCAGTGCTTCGTCGGGTACTTCTTCCTGTGGGCTGCGGTCACCGGATTGGTGGAGACGCCGCCGGTCGCGGTGGTTTGCTTGTTCATGTTCCTCGCCGCTCACGCCCAGACTTTCTTCAACACCGCTGACGTGGTGACTGGGGTCCACAACTTCTCTGATTACGGTGGGACCATCGTCGGCATCATGAAGGTAGACAGATACATTATTTGTATATGAAGCAATGATTATCGCTGAATGCTAACTCTTCCTCCCACGACGTCGTTTTGGGTTGCCTTGTCACATTGTTCATCACATGATTTTACACACTGGTATACTTGCCACACTGCACGTCACATGTTTGACTTATAGACTTCTATGAAATAATGTAGAACTTTTTACAAATTTTTTTCACCAAAAGAACAGTAAATCGAATTTTTTTTTTTTATCATAAATAGTTTCTGAAGTTGATTTAAGTCTTCATCTTGCTTTGTAAAGTTGATTTAAATCGATAAAAGTTTTTTCACATGCATCTTTTGTGAAAAAGTTATAATTTTTTATTGGAGTAGTAATAAGTTATATATGTGCATTTTTCCTTTTTTTTTTTTTTTTTTTTTTTTTTCAAAAGATGGCATGTGTTTGAATTTAATGGTTAGTTCTTTTTTTTTTTTTTTTTCCATAAAAATGGTTTTGTATTTTATGAAGATATAATGAGGCTTCCCTTGCTCCCTCAAATCTCTTTTACTTCAAAGAAAGTCACTGCACGCTAGGCCCCTGTATAGGGTTTCTGTTATTTTTACAGAAATGAAAATTCAGTTTTCAATCAAAAAAAATAAAAACGTGTTTGGATGGTTGCATATGTGGATTCGGCTAGTAAACTAGGGCAATGTGCTCGCCCCTGACAAGCGAGTTTGATTCCTCTCTTCGCAGATTAGAATATCGTCTTGTGAAAAGGGAAAACATGCTATTTTCAGATTATTATGATTATTTTTTGGGCAGGGATTTCTTGGTTTAAGCTCGGCAATTCTAGTCCAAGTCTACGACACATTCTGCCAAGGCAAACCCAGCACCTTCATTCTCCTGCTGGCATTGTTGCCCACATGTGTCTCCATCTTGTTCATGCTTTGGGTCAGAATCTATGAAGCTGGTAGAACTGCTATTGACAAAAAGTACTTAAACATCTTTTCTGCTTTTGCTCTCCTCACAGCTGCTTATCTCATGGTCCTAATCATACTCCGAAACATCTTCACTTTCCCGTCGTGGGCGAGCGCTCTCACACTTACAGTACTTCTTCTGTCTTTGCTTGTTTCACCCTTTGGAATCGCCATCAAAGCACAAAACTTGCAACCCAAGAAAGACCCTGACACACTCGACGATCCTTTACTCGAAAACCCCGAGCCAGCTTTAGCAGCCTCCAAATCCTCATCATTTGAAAACCTTACAGATCATGAAGATATGAATTTACTGAAAGCAATGAGTTGTGCTGATTTCTGGCTATTGTTTATTGCTATGGTTTGTGGGATGGGGTCTGGATTGGCCACCATAAACAACATGAGCCAAATTGGGCAGTCTCTTGGCTACACAACAGTTGAGATCAATTCCCTTGTTTCTCTATGGAGCATATGGAATTTTCTAGGCCGGTTCGGGGCCGGATTTATCTCGGATTACTTGCTGCATAAGAAAGGATTGGCAAGGCCATTGCTGATGGCTGCCACACTAGCAACCATGGCAGCCGGCCACATTGTGATTGCATCTGGCTTTTCCGGGAATTTGTACGTGGGTTCGATCCTAGTTGGGATTTGCTATGGCTCACAGTGGTCACTTATGCCCACAATCACTTCTGAGATCTTTGGGATAAGACACATGGGGACTATTTTCAACACCATTGCCGTAGCCAGTCCTATTGGTTCTTATATTTTCTCCGTCAGAGTAATCGGGTTCATATACGATAAAGAAGCTTCCGGCGAAAATGATGATTCCTGCAGCGGCACTCGCTGCTTCATGCTGTCGTTTTTCATCATGGCTTCTGTTGCTTTCCTCGGGTTTCTTGTTGCTCTTGCTTTGTTCTTCGGACGAGGAGATTCTATGACTCGATCGTACTCAGAAGACTGCGGCATTCTTCTCCGAGGTAGTGAGTGAATGTGAGCACTTTGTGCAGAGACCAAAGTCGTACTGTAGTTTGAGGTAGTGAGCTCTCTTCAGGAGTGGGTTTGGTTTCAATCGGTTTGGGTTTTTCGCCGAAAGCAAAAATGGAACTGAAATTGCTATTTGATTTGGTTTTTTTAATCGATTCAATTTAATTTTGGTTCGTTTATTTCGGTCCTTTTTTTTTTTAATTTTTATATAACTTTTTCTTTATTAAAAAAAAAAATGAAAAGATAGAGCCCAACAATACATCACATATCATTATACAAATGGTGGGATACATGTGCTAAAAAGTTAATAACTTAAAAAATATAATTTCCCACCACTCCTATTAAAACACATGGTGTACCATTTGTGTTCTTATCACAACTAAAATTTTCTCTACTAATTCAACCCTGGTTAGGCTATATGTTGGTACAGAACCAACAAAGACTAGAAACACGGAATTCAATTTTCTTTATTCTGCTTTTCCTGATTTTCTTAGCAACCAAACAAAGCCCGCAATATAAATGATCTGTTCAATTTGGAAATTACCTGAGAGAGATCGAAAAATCCGTATTAGAATCTTCTGTTATGGAGGGTGTTCGGATATGAAAAGGGCGAGGAGAAATCACGATTTGGAGGAAGGAGATCGAGAGGAAGAAAGCACGATGAGGCTTCACTGGTTCAGGACGAAGGGAAGGTTATAGGGTTGGGAATAAAAACGGCGTCGTAATAGTGCTGTATACGAGGGGTTATGTTAAAGTGCAAAACAACGTTGTTTTACTACCTCTGTTCAGTTTGGTATTTAGTTCGGATTTTGGATTCGGTTCGGTATTTAGTTTTTAATTTTATCCGATTTGTTTTCTTTCAAATTTCGGTTTTTCAGCAGTTTGGTATTTAGTTCAGATTTTTTTGATTCTCAATTATTCGAACCCCTTGTAGTGTACATTTATTCTTTTACATATATAAAAAAGTTGGTTTCAAATTTTTATGAAGGGAGAGTTTTCTGTCATATTGTTCATATATGTGTGTAAATTACGATCATATATTTTGTTTTGATAATCTGGGAAGAAGTTCACTTTAATTTTTCGTGCAAGTTTTGTTTATTTATACAAATCTTTTTTGTTAAATGAACATTTGACTTTTTGTATGAGTGAGGACTTTCAGTGTGACCAATTGATGGTGCTATCACCCTAACACGTATCTATTTCTTAATTTTATATTTTATTTCGTGAAAGTATCGCCTCAGCATAACTTTCACGTAATACCGATGCTATTATAGAAGTTTTCAATCAAATCAATTGTTGTCATGTGAAAAAGTTAACGCTCATAATGTGGATTGCGAATTCACCGTGCACGTGTTCAATTCTCGTTGTCCGTGTCATATCTCGACCTGAGTCCTCATCACATTTCAGGCTGCTCCATCGTAGTACGATATTGTCCGTTTTGGATCCCAATCATGTCCTCACAGTTTTGTTTTTGAAAACTCGCACGAGAACCTCCTAGTAGGTATTGTGCTACGATAGTAGAGCGGACCCGAGATGTGGTGGATCTCGGGTTAAGATGTGACAGTTCGTCTATAATTTGAATTAGTATAAATAAATTTAATTAATATTAAATATAAATGGTAGACGTTCGAGGCCAGATAATAGTGTTTGATTGGCTCGAGAAACTATTATATTGTATTACGAGAAAAAAACTAAAATGAAAATCACACAATTAATTAGTTCAATGGTTTCGGTTTTGAGTGATTTGTTTGCAGAAAAGAGGCATTATTTATGCTTTATTTTCTTTCTCTACACTTCTTTTCTCTTCTGTTACGATTTGGATATTTCAAAATGAATCATTTTAAAAATGTTATGAACATAAAAGTAGAAATAAAATCGTGGTGCACTAATATGGAACACTAGCATCTGGCATCCACGATGTGTTAGTTTCTCTAAGCATCATGATCAGTCTTTTATCATTATCTTAATTATTTTTCCACCACAACTCGTCGTCATCCTCGTAATATATCGAAGATTATTCAACTGTTAAACCTAAATAAAGAAGATTATGATTATTAGAACCAAATCTTGCCGATCTGTTTATATATTATATATGGGACAGACGTGATATCATATTTTTTACATAACATTTGATACAAGTTTTTGTAGGATACATTTCGTAATGTTATTTAACAATCCAAACTGTCTAGTTTTTAGGTCTTATCTAAAAAAATTATGTCTACAAAAATTATCCAAATTTGAAATCATATGACTGTTGGAATAAAGGTTAAGGGCTTCTTTGTAAAATCATATTCGTCTATTTTCTTCGCTATAAATAAATGTTTTAATAATTTTGAATTTATCTATTTTTTTTGTAAAGACAAACTATAAATGATGTTCTAAGAAATAAACGCTTCGAATCGCAACTATACATTACAAAGTGAGTCGTATTGAGTGAAAAAAATAGTGCCGCAAATCGGTTCCCATTACCATTATATACATATATATAGGTCAATGTATGCGTGCAGATCTGTTTAATTGTTTATTTCCATATTTTCCACCCCGCCAAATGGGAACCCAAAAACTTTAAATAAATAAAAAGAAAACAGACGCATTTCCTCAATATATACGCCTTAAAACAACTGCGAGCTAAAAATGGCAGCGATGGAGATGCTGAGCAGCAGCAAGTGGACAGCCACGGCGGCGAGTATATGGATTCAGCGTGCCGGAGGCGCTTCCTACGCCTTCGGCATCTATTCCTCGGCGCTCAAGTCGAGCCAGGGCTATGACCAATCGACCCTCGACACGGTGTCCGTCTTCAAGGACATAGGCGCCAATGCCGGCGTCCTCTCGGGGATTCTGTACTCCGCGGTCGCGACCAACGGTCACCGTATTGGTGGGCCGTGGGTGGTGCTCGTGGCGGGGGCTGTTCAGTGCTTCGTGGGGTACTTCTTCCTTTGGGCTGCCGTCACCGGATTGGTGGAGACGCCGCCGGTGGCGGTTGTGTGCCTGTTCATGTTATTAGCGGCCCACGCTCAGACTTTCTTTAGCACCGCCAACTTGGTCACGGGGGTCCACAACTTCTCTAATTATAGTGGGACCATCGTTGGCATACTGAAGGTTAGAAATGGAAAATAATTATCTTCATATAAAGAGTTATTTTTCTTTCGAATAATTAATCAAAATCGTTCATTTTTTATTATTATTATATATTTGTTTGACGAATGAATAACAAAACAATTTACAAATTAAATAAAACTTCTGTATTATAAAAACATGTTTTGCATACAAGCGTAGGGTCACGAGAACAACGTAATCGCTACATTACATGCAAGTTTGTTCCCTAATTAATGAACGGAGGCAGATTGCCTGCCCTCCTGTTTGGGTGTCTTTCCTATTATTTTCTATTTGTGTGATCACGGTTAAATCACGTCAACATTTTATATTCTTATTATTTTTTGTCTTATTATCTCTATAAAAAAATCAATATAAAATGTTGACGTAACTTAACCGTGACCGCACAAAATAGAAGAGGATGAGAAGGGCATCTAAACAGGAGGGCGGACAATCTGCCTCCTTAATGAACCATGTCATTTTCCAGTTAATGAAATGACTCTTAACACTATTTTCAACTTATTATTTTAAATCACAACGGCTTAGCTATGAACAATATTTATGTGTTTCGGGCAGGGATTTCTTGGTCTGAGTTCAGCAGTACTGGTCCAAGTCTATGACACATTCTGCAAAGAAAGGATGGGCAAGGCCATTTCTGATGGCTGTCACTCTAGCAATCATGGCAGCCGGCCACATTGTGATTGCATCTGGTTTTTCGGGGAATTTGTACGTGGGTTCAATCTTAGTTGCGATTTGCTATGGCTCACAGTGGTCACTTATGCCCACAATCACTTTTGAGATCTTTGGGATAAGACACATGGGGACTATTTTCAACACAATAGCCATAGCCAGTCCTGTTGGTTCTTATATTTTTTCCGTCATAGTAATCGGGTTCATATATGATAGAGAAGCTTCCGGAGAAGATGATGACTCCTGCAGCGGCACTCGCAGCTTCATGCTGTCGTTTTTTTATCATGGCTTCTGTTGCTTTCTTTGGGTTTCTTGTTGCTCTTGCTTTGTTCTTTCGGACGAGGAGATTCTATCACACGATCGTCCTGAAAAGACTGCGGCATTCTTCTCCGAGATAGTGAGTGAGTGTGAGCATTTTGTGCAGAGTATAACTTTCATGCAATATGGATATCATCGTGAGGATTTTCTAAGTAAATTAGGCACGCATACAAATTAAAACACACACAGAATTTATTACACGATATTTTATTTTATTTTTTGGTCAATTTATTACACGGCATTTTAAGAAAACACTAAACAATCAAGTTATCAAATGGTTAAATGCTTTTGAATTTATGTTTGATCTTTGAAGGAATTTCTAAAAATGATCAATTTAGATTGTTAAAATACAATGTGAAATAAAATTTATACGTGTTTGGGTAGAAATATGATTCCTTGTATTGGGATTTGCTATGGCCCTAGATATTACAATATATAGGGTTATACCAATTCCTAATTAGGTAGAAATAATCCTAGACTAATTACAATGAAAAATTACATTCCTATAATATATGGGAGAATCACGGAGATGATTCCGAGTTAGTTAACTTAATCTAACACCCCCACCCATCCACCCTCTGCAAGCTAGACGAGCCTGACCGGACAAGTTTGGAGTAGAGAGTTGACAATGATGAGGTTGATGAAGAACTTTTGTGAGGAGACCATCAGGTTGATCAGTGAAATATATATATCGCCCATCCTATGACTGTTGAGAGCAACTTTTTTCACGAACAAAGTGATAATCAAGCTCAAATAACGAGTGCGAGCATTATGAACAAGATCAGCAGCTAAGTAGGTGCCACTTAGATTATCACAGTGGAGCAGGACGAGAAAAGAAAGACGAACACCAAACTCACCAAGTAAAAAACAAAGTCAAGCCGTTTCAGCACATGCATGCGCAAGTGAGCAATACTCATATTCCGTACTGTTGTGAGACACAATAGATTGCTTTTTAGAACACCACGATATGAGATTGGATCCAAGGTGGATAAAACAGGCAGTGGTTGATCGTCGCGTGTCGAGACACACAATTGGCACCAAAGTAAGCAGACAAAGTAGCAGAAAAAATGTGGGCGAA